CGCCGCGGCCCCCGGGCAGCCGCCCCTGCAGCAGGGCAGCCTGGTGCGGAGGGTGAGCACGGGGAGAGCGGGCCCTGCTCACACGCGAGTCAGCTCCACGAGAAGATGAGTGAAATGGTTCTGTAACTTCAGCAGAACATGAATTTCTGAGGGTGTTTTTCAGCGCGCTCTCACCTTGCTTGCACAGGTGCAAATTTCAGTCCTGGCTGTCACAGAGTATGGCACTCCAACGGACATTTCGTACACAAAGTAGCTCACAAAATTTACCAGGCAGCTGGCTATCATACATCTAGAAACAAAAATTTACTGCATATAGTTGTGTTCAATCCTGTTAGCATAACAACAGATTCATCTAACCCTTTTCCTCATTTATAAATGGATTGTTAAGAAAAACACAGAAGATGAAATTTAAGTAACAGAACTTAATAAACACTTTCAATATTTACCATCTTTTTTCCATGTAGAATTTTTTTAAGTGCTAAGTGCTATGATCTCACATTAAGAAATACTTGCTCCTTTTTAGAGTTGAAAAAAGAACGTAAAGAGAATATAAAACTGTTTTCTTAATAACCCAAAAATTTTCCAGATCAAGACTGAATATTTTCATCAAAGGCATGAGCCTGATGTTTCACACCTGACTTCTACACGTAAACAGAAGTCTGCCACAAGACCGGTGTGTGCATATTAATGAAAAGTCATTCTGCACAGCTCTTCAAACAACAATATTTAATTATTTTCACATCAAAATCACTTTGTAGCTCACCAGCATTTTCTGTTTTTCTTTAAATATAAACCCAAACATTTTTAAAAGCAGCAGTTTATATACACAGGTTTAATGCTTAATTGATCCTCTTTAAAAAGGGAAAATCCATGTGTTATGTGAAATACTTTCTATTACTATAATGAAATGCAGCAAGAAGAGCTTGTATTTCTACAAACTCTCTTCTCCCAGAATAATCAACTTTCAAAACAAAGCATTTTCACAAAATCTTATTTAACCTTCTTTTGCAAAGCACGATATGTTGGACTTCTAACTTGGATTTATAAAATGACAAGTTATCATCTCAACAGGAGGAAAAAAAAAGAATGTAATCTGATATAAGGAAACTCTGTGCCAAATTCAGTCTTTTGTTCGCAAAAAACGGAACATTTCTGAGATGTCTTTTATATTTCTGAGGTACAACTCAGGCATTGGTACTTTATTTACCACTGATATAACAGTTTCTCTCTTTCCAGGGATGCAATTAGGAAGCCAGAGCTGTTCATTTTTGGATACATGTTGCAAATGTATGACTACAGACCCAAACAGTCTTATTCCTTATCCCTCATTTCTTCCTGTTCTCCTATCTCTGCTACTAACTTCACAAAAAACATGGAAGTAACCTAGAAGTCTTTATTGCTGGAAAGCTATGGTGGGACTATCATTCTTTGTACAAAAATATTTTAATGCAGTTATTTAGAAATGTTAAATAAGAGCATTTCAGTGATAAAATATTTTATTAGTGCTTCTGTCTGCGTACATTGAGCAATGTATTGGGACTTTAAAAAAAATTCTAAAGTTTCACTATCCGATCTTTCAATCTCAGACACCACTATTACAATGGAAGCAGATGCTATGGTAGAGGAAATCATCCCAACAGTGAGGTTCTGTATTGCCAGTTGAGACCCATAAAGCAAGATTCTGGGTATGGTGGAGTGGGTATTTTATCTATCTGTGCATACCAAAAAGACTATGGGAACTCTGCCAACCATGTGTGAACGTGACCAGCCAACTGAACACTACGTCTGATCCAGCTCCTGGCAGGCTGGGTGGTTAGCTGTGATACAGGATATGCTGGCTGAAGCCAGCTCTAGCATTTGATGAGATGACAAATAGATCCTTCGTGTGGGTTTTTTTGTCTCTCTAAAGCATCACCAATATCACTCACCCACTCACTCCACGCTATGCAAAAATATCCATTATTTAAATGCTTCATATAAACTCAGCAGAGATTGCTGACAAGGTATGAGATACTCCGCCGCTAGTAAAGAACACATGAAACCACAAACAGAAAAATGGGAGACCTTATTTTGAAAGGATGAAAGCAAACAGAGAGATTGGAAGAAATGAAGTAAGCATCAGGTTCAATAAAAGGATGAAAAGAAAGTCCTGCTGCAAAATCAGGACTATAAAGTGTATCAGTCTATAAGCGTACAACATAATGGAGCAAACAATACCACATAAACAGCAAATGAAACAATGTCACACGATAGAGAACCTTGTGCATGAAATACAACTTTTTATTTATGTTTTATAGATTACTTTTATTTATTTTTGCTTTAATAATGCATATTCTGTTCACTCTGTGCAAAATTGGGGACAGAGGCGGGCGTTTAACTCATCTAATGAAAATCAAGCGGAAATGAACATTCAAGTTGAGGGAGAGGCCTATCAAAACCAGGAAAGCTAAAAAGCCACAGCTGCTCAAGACAAAGCTGCTCTCAGCTGCGCCCTTTTGTCCTGCCACCTCACACAAAACTGGCTCTACTGACTGAGCAGCTGCACACCGGGCAGGTGACCTCTGCCGGACACCGGGGACAGGAGTCATCGTGGTAGCTACATTAGGGAGACCTGGCTTGCAACCGGCTCCAGTCAGTGTGTGGCAAAGAAAGGCACAAATCATTGCAAAGACCAGATTTCTGTTGGTTTGTTTCCTTCTTGTAAATACATTACTGTACACAACGTAAGTTTAAATTGTAGGGGATTTGGGGACATAAAATTGCATATTTAACAGAACTTAAAACCGTAACAAAAAGTAGGCTGTTCTACCTCGAAGCAAAAATAATCCCTCCAGCCCCAACGTTAACATTCATTCCTGGCTATATGCAGTACAAACATTTTAAAATCTGTGACAAAAGACAATTAAAAACCAAAAGTCAAAATCATAAAGCTTGTAAACAGATAATCTGAAATACACTTTATTTATGGAAAAATATCATCAAAATAGTACCACTATGGACTAAACTGCCTGAGTTTTCACTTCACCTAGGATCTTGAAGTAGAGAGCCTTTAGCACAAGATCAATTTCAGTCACAACTAGTGCCGCACAGCACTGCTTCGGGTGGAAATTTTGTCCTCGTTGTTGGTATTTTTGTTGTGCTATCAAAAACTGTTGTGCTAATCCTTCAAATAAAGGGATGCTGAGGCAATTCTTAAATCATTTGGCACAAAGTTATTTTGGCTGGGGCATAAACTTGAGTCTCAGTCATGAAGAATAATGCAACATTCCACCTATCAAGTATTCACTTTGATTGAAGAGCTTTCTTTATGTCATTAACTTCCATCTGAAAACAAACAAAAAAATTGTGATGAAATTAGATGCTTTAACAAACTGAGGCACAGTTGGTGACTCTTGAAAAGCACAGGTTCCATCTTGTCCACAGGTGTCAAGTACAGGTTTTATACTACTCATTTCCACAGACTTCACAAATTGAGGTGACCTTCTCAGCTGCCTAAGATGACCACTCACGGCTTCCTCCCCTCAGAGCTTGACAAGTGTAGTCATTGAATGTACCACAAGACCTTTCAAACTCTTTAAATTAAAACTTTTACAAGCCACACAGCTTGCTGCCAGGAATTACTTGCAGAATGAGCATCGTGTCCATGCATCAGCTGCTGCACTTACACCCGGCATAAGTAAACTGAACTGCTGACAATGAGCACTGGTAGCTGAGGAGCAAAACTTGTCGTCTCTCTCCTTCAGGGATGGTTCTTGCTGTAGGGATGGCGGTTGCCCTCTACCCCCATCAAGCCTGTGTCCAGGCACCTTAAGGGCTCTGATGGATGTACAGCTGTGTGGTAAAAGGATGTGGCTGAAAGCATCATCAGCCCTAGTTGTACACTTGGCCCCTCTTGCAGACACTGGAAACCCTGAGGCAGGGGTATTAGATTTATTCAAACACACCTGCAGCGCTCAACTGCACCATATCATCAAGGCAGTCTTCTTTAATACATGGACTGAGAGCTGTGCTACTTTATGACTATCAGAGGACCCTTAAACTAATGCAACTTTTGTTTGTTAAACTAATTATGCCACCTCGGCTAGCATCAGAACATTTACCAGTATAAGCAACATTTGAATTGGAGTAAAAGCATTCAGCTATAAGATCGTAATTTTAAAAACATCAATGCAGGTCTCTGTATAAAGATGTAAAGCCATCCTTGGAGGCAGAACCCAGTCCTCTGAATAGTCTGGCCTGTTAGACTAAATCAATAACTGCTATTAAAAATATTCATTGATTTTATCTGAAAAAATTTCAATTTTAGCTGAACGTGAATTGTGCGTTACTAGAAGCCATACTCCTATGTGATTGCACGCATAAAGTCCTTTAGGCAGCCCTGGAGCACAGACAGTGATGGTCCCCAGTTCTGCCACTCTTTGCCATGTTCCCAAGCACTTTACTGAGCAGGAACAGCCCATTTTCTACCCCTAGTACAAAGAAAAAGTGCAGTTGACCTATACCATAAAAATATAATCAATCCTAAACCACTTATCAAGTACATCACTCTCCAAAACCCAGAAAAGCAGTTCGGTATCATTCCATATTGAAGCAGCACAATGATCCTAGCAAAGGCCCAGCTCCGCCACTCTCACACAAGTCGGGCAGCGTGCTACCTGGCAAATGACTAAGGCAGCACAACGGCTAGAGCTAAGGTCCTATACAAACTACGGCAGCAGTAACTGGGCTCTTAATCAGAGCACCTTCTTTTATATTGTTTAGGATGCTTTAGTAAAGACAACCTGAGTACAGTCTGTAAAGCAGACAAAAAAATCTTGCTATATGAAATAATACTCCAAGCATATCAACACTAGGACAAGCCTACTACAAAATATAAAGCTTTGGGAGAGAGCAAATCATTTAAAAAGACCTGATTTCATTTGTGACAAAATCAAACCATTAAAACTGAGACTAAAAAATATCGTTTGAATCCTATATTGTGTTTAATTTTTTTTTTTTTAATTTGTCTACCTGTGCTGATAAAATTTTAGATAATTATCAGGCTTTTCAGTAAGAACCCAGTATTGCAATATATATGACACAGACTGGCAACACTATTAAGGGAACAGATATATCCCTTTCAGAAATGTTAGTAGTTTTTGATTCACTGGAACCTAAGTATCTCAGCACAGTTTTATGTCCCATACCTGAGGCTAAATCAAACCTGCCAATACTTCCATAACATTAAAAATAATTTAAGTACCTGCAATCGTAGACGGATCTTCTTTTCTTCATCCAACTCAGACAGCAACTGTTTAATCTCTTTTCTGTTAAAAGAATGCAAAAAAAGCTTGGAATGGAAACGATTAAACTAGTAAAATACAAAAGATCACCTCTTAGAGACGTATTTTCCCTGCTTCACTAGTTACCTCTTTTCCTCTGAACAACTAATTAACGTCAGTATACTCTTGTATACTATATGCTATACTACAGAGATAATACACCATATGTGTATTACACCCCATATGGCTAATGAATAATACATTTCCTCCTAACAGCCCTGCATTCACAGGCTTTGCTCTGGACTAGCTGTATCAACACTGTATCAGCACCCAGTTGCTTTTTTTCCATACAAAAGGTAGATGGATTGGCTGTTGGTGAGTTACAGGAACTGGTAACACAAATCCTGCCCATGTTATCACATACTTAAGCCACTTAAAAGCTGTTTATGCCAGCAATACAATGTAACCTTCAACACCATTTATAGGACTTAATGATCCCAAATATGGATTTGCTGTCATCCTTCTTTGTCAGGAAGGGGAACATAGCTATAAGAAGCAGACACCTTTTCATGTTCCCACTGAGTGATCTCTCCTTAAGACAGAAACCAGTAGGTGGAAGCAGCCCTTGCAAAAAGGGCTGGGGAGACCAGAGGAGCAGGGGTCAGCATAAGAGGCGAAGCCATGGGGCTCGCTGGCTACATCCAGCTTGAACCATGCCATCCTACATCTTCTCCCAAACTCCCCGCACACCTCTGTTCCGCCACAGTCTCTGCATGTTGCTTTCTCTTTTCTTTTTTCTGCCTGGGCTATACACAACTGACAATGTAAGTGAAGGTTTAGCTTCCAAAACATCAAATATTCTCAAGAATAGCAAAAGCTACACGCCAGCCCCAGTTTCTCCTAAGAAATGAGCACCTTAAAGAAAAGAAACATGCCCAACACTAAAATAGTAAGATTCAGGGTCATAAACACAAAGGTCTTCAAATGTCCTAATCACAATTCAATTACTTTTTTTGTAATACAAGCTTCCTGGGAAAATGTGCTGACAGTGAAACAACAAATTGATTTAATAATTTTAGGAACTTGTAGTAATTTGTACTACAACTAGAACAAATGCACCCCTTATTAAGATCAATGCACCTGAGTTCCCAAACAGTTATTGGCAAATCAAACAACATAAGAGCCTTATTCACTACTTACAGCTTGTAACTTAACTTTTTCAACACACCATAAACATCTGCTTATGTCGTAAGACAAGACAAGAAGCTGTTACAGATGGACAGTGTCAGTCTTTTTTTCTGAGCTTCTCACCCCTGAACATGTTCTCAGGGAAGTAGATGAAAATCACTCACAAACACAAAGGAAAACTATGCAGAGTAACGTATATGAAGGCAAGCTCAAGAAGAAACTGCCACCACCACGCATCTCACCTACAGCTGTGATTTGCAGTACTTACTTTTGCTGGTCTTTCATGGTTTCAATGATGGTTCTTAGCTCCTTAATTTGTGTTCTCAGCTCCTCCAGGGCAGTCTGACCTTGGCTCAAGTGCTCAGTCTTTGGCTTTCCTTCAGTACCGAACAGGGATGGGGAATTTGACCTGTGGCCTGTTGTTCCCATAGCAATTGAGTGAAATCCAGGTGACGGTGAAGGGGATAGTGATGGTTGTACATTACTGCCACTAGCCAAACCTCCTGGTTTTGGAGGCAAGGAAGTTTTATTATCAGACACCTGCAACAAAAAGAATAACATTTAATGTCTGTGGAAAGCTTTATGAAAATCAGACCTCTAACAAATATTAAGTATTTTGCTGCTCTTCAGTAATGTTCAAAGTCCATAGTCAAACATGGACAGTTTTGGCCAGAGCATGATAAATGTAACAGTTAGTCACTATCTTTGTACATGTACATCAGAGGAGGTCTAGTTGGGACGCAGAAGTTCAGACAGCGTCAGTAAGACTTTCCACAGTGGCTATAACCAGTCAGCCACAAGCGTTTCCAAGGTCTCAGACCTAGCAGTGAAATGAACCGGGGAAAGATGCTCAGTGTTTCTCTCAGAAGTTTGTGAGAACGTACCTACATCCATGGAGTCTCCTGCGGAGCACAAAACTGCATGTCCAAGAATCCAAGTTGTATTTTTTTTCAGATTAAATTTACGATCATCAACTAACCATTGAAGGAATCTTCAACACCCAACGTTTTTTAAAAATTAAAAAATGTGTTACATGTTGCCCTTAGTGTTACGAAAATAGCAAAATATTCCGTAAGTTTGCTTGTTGGTATGATATAAAAACAAAGTCCCGTGACTTCAAAATGATAATATATTAATAAGAAATAAATGTACTGTACTGTCCACTGTTAACTGAAGCTTCTGTGAATCCCGATAACTACCAATGGCTCTTTATTCCTCCAGGAACTTAACAGAAAAACACAGCATTAACCTAGTTACCCTGGAACCATGTGGCTAGCTCAGAAGGATCCCATGCTTCCTGAATTGCAATCCAGTGCTCTACTTATTAGACAAGGTATAGAAAAACTGAAATCCACCTACCATACATGACCAGCTGCTTCATTGCATACACAGAACAGTGTACAAGTACAGTAACCGCAATGGCAAGTAGGGTGAGTCTTAATTATTTATCGTATCACTATTTGGCAATGCTAATGTGTGCATTATATGACAGCTACCAGGAGTATATGAAAATCTGACTTGGCCAAGAACAAGAAAAAGCACTAGGCAACCCTCCAACTGTATCTTTGGAAAAGAGATACTGAAGTTGAATGGCAAGTGGGGTAAGATGTTCAGAAAAAATGGTATGGAAACGGAAGGAGACATTTTAAGTGAGGACTTGGGAACTGGGGCGGTGGCATTAGCTGGACAAAGTAACTGAGAGAAAAGTTAGTCATCAGACGAAAATTAGGAGAAAGTATGATGGGAAGGGAAGAGAAGGGTCCACCAAGTTCTGCAAAAAACAGTCTTCCCCACCACACGAGCATGATTGAGCACAGAACCCGTCCTGGGAAAGCACTGCATAAAAAAAGTGTTTGCAGAAAAACCAGTGTGACCATAGAAATAAAAATGGCATTATAATCACAAGAAAGCTGAATCAGTCCCGTGGCTTGAATGCTTGACTTCATGACCTCAACAATATTCTTTTAACACTTTATATATATATGTGTGTGCATGTGTGAGTAATGTGTACCTATAAATGGATCTTTCATGGATAATAATCCTTGTATCAGTAGATGCAAGTTTCCTCTGGACTGAAAAGAGACGTCAGGCTGAGTTCAAACCTGGAACAAGTGAGCAAGGCACAACTGGAGTCATCCACACTGAATACCTTATTCCAGAGCTTAACTGGCTATCAACATTAAAGCCTCAAGCAGCTACTTTCTGGTAGCGGTCATCTTGTTTTACAGGAACAACATCTACATCCTTGGCATACCAGCATATAATTTACGAGTGTTGGCCCCATAGCATTCATTAACGCAAGTGCTCCCAGAAGAGGGAGCTATATAGCAAAATATTATCCTTATAACTTGATCACAGACGTGCATGACTTCATCTTTCAAATACTTTTGTTATACTAAGAATGTAATATTTGTGTTATTAAATGTATCTTTATGTCCTAAAAAATAGCTCCAACCTCTAAAGCCTGATCTACATACTCCATCTGTAAGATTTGATTATCCTATAGTTTTCTACCAATATACAGTAAGAATGGCACAAGCCTATAAAGTGAATACAATTATGCCAGTATAAAAAGTGATTACACTTGCAAATTTAAATTCACATACTATTAGAGTGGGTCAAAGAGATGTATTTTCTCTTATCACAGACCCTTCTAATGTAAACTCAATTTGCAGCTGCAAAAAAAGGGCCTTTGTTTCTAAAATTTATTTCCCTAGCTTCTCTGATTCTGTGAAATGTATTTACACTAGAAGAATTTTTTCACAGTGTGGTTATGTAGGCATTTTAACTGTGCAATTCACTTTAGACTTGAATTTCAAGCACAGAACAATCCTCAGTAACCCTTACCATTTTAAGCTTCTTTAAAAGGCTAACTACCAGGTGACTGGTATTTATTTTAAAAATAAATATTTGAATACTGTTTTCAAAAATGAAGATGCATGTGACCAAGTTAAACAGAGGCATTCCAATTAACTTACTTGTGATATTGTAACAGTTCTTGATTTCCTTGACACTTCAATAGTTTTGTGTGTAATGGAAACATGTTCTTCCTTCTCTTCTTCAGGACTTGGTGAGTCAAAGAAATCGGGGCTTGAAAGGGATGACTATATAGACAAACACAAGAGAGGAAAAAAAAAAGCAGGTATTTTCATTGCATAAGAATTTAACAAAGGAAAAAGAAAAGCATTTTTGTGATGACTTTTTTATTTTTAGTTATGCTTTTCAAAGTAACAATACTTAAAATCAGGACTCTCCCTCACCCCACCCCCCCTTTTTTACATCTTATTTTCAAGGCAAGAATGCTTTCAAAGCATTTATGGAATGAGATATACTTAAGAGTTGAATTCAACATTAATTTACATCTTTGCATTGCATTATATCATAAGATGAAAGCACCTTCCTGTTCGCAAGAAGAGCTGTACCTTACTTGGCTAGGACTCTGAGCACTGTGCTGTGGGGATGCCAGCTCTGCCACCCGGGCAGCTCTGCCATGGCTTTGCTCAGTGCAGGTCTCACTTTGCTGCTCCTCAGAGGACCCATGCTGCTGCCCGTGCACACTGCTGCACTGCAGGGCTGCCTTCTGCACGGCCTCTTGGTAACGATGCAAACAGGGAAGGTTCTTTCCACCCCTGTTCCTTTCCCCATAGATCTGACAGGGAAGAAAGACCTTTGAACGTCTCTTTTCTGTTTCTATATTTATGTACACAGTCAATTTTGAAAGCTTTCTTTTTTGTGTTCTATTAGTTTCACAATAATCCTTTTTGTTTCCCTCCACTTTGTTTTCCTTCAGCAACATGAACACGGGCAACCATCAGTAGTTGCTCTCATTCTGATATTCCAGAATGCAGAAAGCACAGAAATGAACAAACCCCAAACCCCAATGAAAAGGACGGTGAAAAACTAAGCACTGGTTTCCAAAGTATTGTTTATGAGACCAACTGGTCTAAAGATAAATATTAGAAAGTGAAATTTAAATCACCCTTATATTTACAATTGTGAGCTTAATGAGAAGAAACACAAGGTGGCTCAAGGAGAGCTCTTGAAGGCTAACAACAGCCTGTTTGTCCTCAAAATCTGGTAGAGTGTCCTAGAGAAACCAAGGGAAATGCTTCTTTTGGGAAACACTTTCAAAATCCTTAATATTTGGCACAAACAGGCTTACTCTAAAGGTTTTTATAAAGGGTTCTTCTGGCCTCAGTCATGGTTGGCAAGGAATACCTGGCAGCACCCAAATAAGGGGGTACAAATTTTGTAAGGGAGGGAATGTTTTAAACATCGGTATTCAAAACACTGGCAGCCTTTTGACACTGATTTTCCTGAGCTGCATCTCTCTGCCTCACTGTACGTGTGAAGGAATGGCTGTTTAAATGTAGTAAAACCACCAGGGAACACAAATAGGAGGAGGTAAAAAAATCAGAAAAAAATATTTTAAAAGAAAAGGAAAATTAACTTACAGACGTGAGAGACTGGGAGGGTGGTCGCCTTCCAGTAGCTTTTGGTCTGGTTGTAGTTGGATGATTAAGCTTCTCAGCAATTGGTATTACAGAGTCAAAACCTTCCAAGTCTTAAAAATAAAATAAAATTGATTTGGTTTTCTGGCAATTGTCCTCAAAGGGAAAGAATCACAGTTTTTTTCTAATTTCAAAGAAATCAAATCCCATTTTCCCATTGTGTCAGAATGTTCTGCACATGTTTAGGCACCATGATGGCACTAAAAAAACCTGGAAGTCAAAGGCAGCTGTAATCCAGTCACCCTTGCCAAACATAATTACTCTTCCATCTCAAACACAATTAAGCAGAGGGGGAACATGTAGAGGAGCCTTTGGCTTTGTTTTCGGCATAGTGAAAGCTAAATGACAACATGGGTCCTATGGCACGGAACAAACAGTTTCAAAATTTCCATCTTGCTATTAAAAGGGTTAGTAATTTTTTTTCCTGAATAATTGGAGACATAAGACAGTGCACAGATTGTCTCAAGAACTGTACTGTCAGCGCTGCACCTGTAGCAATTGCTTAGGGGAGCACAGCATGAGAATGATCGAGCTGGAACTGATCTGCAGGTTCCCGGACATCTGCAGCCGGAGGCAGCATAGCTTCCAGTAGCTATAAGTGAGAGGAATATCTCCACTAGGCCATACCAGAGGTTATGGTAAGTAAAAACTCCAAGAGGCTCCTGAAGCTGTACAGAGCCCAGGAAAAACAGGTCTGCTCGAATGCAATCTCGACTGTCTTCACAGTTAGTGAAATGCACTGGGGAAGTGTTTACTGAATCCAGCCACGTGCTAGCATGTTTACGTGAAAGAACGATGTGAAGGCTGAAGGAATACCACAGCTCATGATTACATGCCTGAATCAAATGGCTTAACACCATTGATCTATTTTTATGGGTTATATCAGTTTCACTCACCTCCATTTCAAAATGCCCTACTGCATATGTTAAGCAGAAGTGAGTCCGAAAACATACAAGAGGTACTTTAGACAAGGTAAATCAAAATTCTGTAAAATTACTTTCAGACATGAATCAAATACTAGAATGATATTCATTATTCAGAGACTATTTTTCATTGCGCACATGTAGGAAGGAATAGCTTTTAAGTTAACAGCTACCTATAGCGGGCACTTAATTTTCAGGACTGTTACAGAACAATGAATCTCTGAAGATCGAGTTTTGTTGCCGTATTACAACCATCGTACAAAATTACACAATGGAAAAACAAATTAATTAATGGGCCTGTGCAATAAACTATATGTACTGAAGGACACTTAAACTGATTCCAAGTACTCATGATTTGGCAGCTACGAAGTAAATGGGATCAGACATTCCTTATTCAGCAATATTCTTCCATCTCTGGGAGATAAAAAAAGAAGAAGAAGAAAAAAGAGACCTCTTTCAATAGCCCTGAAATAGTCTAAGGTTACTGACCTCCACATACTACTCTATTTTTGGAGCAACTCTTCCTATATATAACCAGTGACCCCACTGTCCTCTACCAGGTATTTCTCTCATTGCTTTTTTGTTGACTGTTGCAACCTATGTCCAAAGGCAGGTCACCCAGTCTGTCAACGGGAGTTTGGCAACCTGATGCCTCAACACATCAGGTGAGGCTACAGTGCTTTTAAAGTAAAAATGAGCTAACATTAGCAGCCTGCACAAAACCTATCTGGAGTCCTACAGAACTTCAGCATTTCAGGAGAGGAGAAACGGAAGTAAAAATATATTTTCTGGGGAAAAAAAAATGCAAATGTAAGAGCTGGTTTCCAGTAATATCCAGTTTGAAGCTGACGCATGAGATGATAGCTAAATGACTTGCAAATCAGTGATGTATTTTAATACATTGTCTTCGTTTTCACCACTGTGTTACTTTGTTAAATTGCACAGCAAGAATATATTGCCATCAAAAATATACACTCATCTATAAACATGTGAAGCTCACATACATGAGTACAAATGGAGGCTGAAGTTTTTTTTCTCTTTCCCACTTAGCTGTTTTTACTATTTTTTTTCCTTGAGCCAGTTTTAATCCAGCTCATTTTCCAACAGCATGTGCCTAGCCACACAAATACCCGTGCTGAAGGAAGGATCAGTATCGGTACCAGAGGACTGATACAAACTGCTAAAACCGAGAGGAAGAGCAGACTACTGCTTTGGGGGGCAGCACACTGGCTGAAGTTACCTTGCAGCCTAGGAAGGCTCCAGTGCATGACTTCCCTCTCTCTGCGTTGCTGCTTCTACGGCAAGCGCCACTGTCCCTTCCTCTGTTCTTACAAAAGATAAGTATCTACACTAATATGGAAAACAATCAATGAAAAACATAGCGAAGGCATTAATCCAATGTGTTTCTTTGGCTTAAATAAACTCATAATTACCTAGAGTTCTATGTTTTATCAGAATAATCAAATATTCATGTTTAAATTGTAAAATGTATCAATAAATAGGGAGTGTATGAATTTGTCCTTGAGATCCATGAGCACTTGCAGATAAAATCTGCTCCACGCATTTTATGAATACCATGAAAGATGAACATTTCTGTGCAAAGCTTGTATTATCAAGAAATACTGGGAATGCTCAATTTTTTCCACTTCTGAATGCATTTCTGCTAGCTGGAAAAATAAACTAAAGCAGCCTATACCTGCACTGAATTTTAAAAAAGAGCAGAGCAGAGGTTGGAAGGGCTCTGCAGGTAAAATCGGCTGCCAAACTAGTGAAATCACAGCCATCAGCTGATACTATAAATGAAATTCTATTTAAGTGTAAGGGACAACACTTGGTACAATGCTAAAATAGTAAATCCATTTCTAATATTTCCATATGCCCTTCATCCCACTCTGTTTGTTCTCCTTATTTAGATGTGGTTCTTGCTCCCAAATCTGCATCTAAGGTTATCACCACCTTCCACGGTCATCACCCATGAGGCATTCATTCAGGAAAATTCCCATATAGTAAACTGATAAAGAAAATGAGGAACACAACCACTCAAGAGACCTCTGCCTTGCTGTCATCTATACTGTAGATTCAGTAATGAATTCACTTACACTGGTTATTTGATTATTTTTTGCTAATGGAAAGCAAGGTTATATGGGTGTGACTATATTATACTCATTGAGATCATTAAATGCAGAGATTTTATTTTAGTTAGCTATCAGAAATTGGGAGCTTAAATTTACTTAATAGGCAAAACATAAGACCTTCCTGAGCTGGAAAAGGGATGTCATTAAAAATAAAGTCCAGTCTACTGTATTCACAGCCATGTTAATTGCCCATAAGGCAGCATCAGCATCCAACAGACCTGAACTCTGCACTGGTCCAGCTTTCTCTATGTCTGTTAGTAACAACAAACAGTAAGGAAGGTTCTGTTGAACACACAGAACATCGAGGGCACCCTTCAATTAACCGCGGCACTCCATAATTAAAAAAATAGTTGATACTTGTTCTACAAATAAACAGATGCATTCATCATTATTACTGTCTCGCTGATCAAGCTGGTAATTCTCGGAAGTAATTAATGAGATGGGGAGAAAGACATCAGAGCAATTCTAATATACTAGTGTAGTACACACAATAAAATGTCTGGCTTACTGAGCGAACATATTTAATGAATATGAAATATGTTAGCTGTGCAAGAATTACTCCCTGGTATCCTTCCAAGGCAGTTAAGAATAGGATATTTTTCCCCATTGCTACATTCATTTGGAGACATGGTTATTTTAAGCATGATGATGGTGTTTTTAAAAAACATGCTGAGATCCAGGAAAACAATTATTTAAGGAAAAAGTTCTCAGCTCATTAGACTTGTACCTTCCTGGAAAACAACCTTCAATCCCTCCAAAAAAAAAAACCCAGAAGGAAAAAGTTAAATGGTTATGCTTCCTTCCTTACCCCTTTTCCCCCTTGCATTTACTATTCTGGCATAAAATGTGTCTAGCCCTCAACTTTATCTTATGGTTACGATTTTTAGTCTTTGGGCGAAGTAATTTATACATAATGAAGACAGAAAGCTTTTTGAATTAGCAGACAGATTTCACCTTGAGAAAACTGAAATGGAAAGTGATGGATAATAGCAGAATGCTAATGGTGAGGTTTCATAGAACAGAAATACGGCAGGGCTGGAAGAAATAAGGCAAAGGTGGCATTGAATTCGTTTGAAGAAGATAATGCCACAAAAGCCACAGAGGTAGATTTCATTTCATAATCATCTTCAACACATTTAAAAGATTGACAATAGACTTGTGAAATGGTATATATACTGTCTTTAAATACAATAATCCTGAAAGCTATCAAATGAGACAGAGATACTGCAGATGAAATCTTCTGCATTAATGTCCATGTAATATATAGCACTAACTAAAAAACAACTCAAACAATAATCTGAATATTACTGGGAATTTTCAGAAGACCACAATTACTTTAACTACTTCAAGTGCCCAAATTCTGCTACTCTCTCCATGCTGAACAGCATCGTACCCTTCAAGGAATACAGCCATGCTCCCAGCCAGGGTCAGGGACGAAGAATCTCACCCAAAACGAACTGCAGACTCTTTTTTAGGATCCGGGTAATGCACTTCTAGCAGGAGGGCTCCCTGGCTACAGGCTTACTGTGTTCAGGAGTGTAACAGCGATGCGCCAGGGAGGCCTGCCCGCATGGTTCTTTGCTTTGGAGGGAAACAGCTTGGCTCACCTGGCTTCTCAGGACAGTCACTGGACAGCCACCTTTCCTAAAGTATACAATTACCTTTTCTCATTTCAACCCTTACTTTTATCGCTTTAATATCTGAATGTAGAAAGCTCCCATAATGAGCTTTGCTAAGCACTTGCCAGGGCCCTCATAAGGATTTTATTTTTAACGATTCAGAAGATGCCAAGAAAGAACTGAAAGGTCAAGAAAACTGAGCTAGAAGAAATGTATATGCTGTTTTCAGGCACCTCAACTTGACACACATGGAGAACGATTTAAAATTCTGGTTTACTGCCTTCTTCTGGGCCCTCCGGGGCAAGAGACATAATTAATTTACGTAATGGATCATTAACATATCCCTGATTACAATATTTACAATTCACAACTACGT